TGACCTGCAATACATGCGCTAGGTTGTTAAAACGGTTGACTCTTTGCTTATCGTAATGTAAGTCACACAGATCCAAATGATCGCAAAACATCTCAATATTCAATTTAGCAAAACCCACAGCTGCAAATGTGCCCAACTGCAATTGGAGAGCCAGCGCTACACGACTACAAATGTGACAAAAGTAAGCTGCGTGCTAAACATTCAAACATGCAACCAAAACTCCTTATGTCACGCTATTCTTGTGGGCTGCCCTACATGACAAGTTGCCTATATTGTGACGTGACCAACATTTTATATTGCGACGTGACCAACATTTTGTATTGCGACGTGACCAACAGTTATATTGCGACCGTGACAAAATTTTATTTGCGATCGTGACCAACAGTTCATATTTGCGACGTGACCAACATTTTATATTGCGACGCGACCAACATTTCATACTGCGACGTGACCAACATTTTATATTGCGACGTGACCAACATTTTATATTGCGACGTGACCAACATTTTGTATTGCGACGCGACCAACATTTTATATTGCGACGTGACCAACATTTCATATTGCGACGTGACCAACATTTTATATTGTGACGTGACCAACATTTTATATTGCGACGTGACCAACATTTTGTATTGCGACGTGACCAACATTTTATATTGTGACGTGACCAACATTTTATATTGCGACGTGACCAAAATTTTATTTTGTGACGTGACCAACAGTTTATATTGCGACGTGACACAATTTGTATTGCGGACGTGACCAACATTTTATATTGTGACGTGACCAACATTTTATATTGCGACTGTGACCAACATTTTGTATGCGACGTGACCAACATTTTGTATTGCGACGTGACCAACATTTTATATTGTGACGTGACCAAACATTTATATTGCGACGTGCCCAACATTTCGTATTGCGACGTGACCAACATTTTATATTGCGACGTGGCCAATATTTTATATTGCGACGTGACCAACATTTTGTATTGCGACGGGACCCATATTTTATATTGCGACGCGACCAACATTTGATATTGCGACGTGACGAACATTTTATATTGCGACGTGACCAACAGTTTATATTGCGACGTGACCAACATTTTATATTGCGACGTGACCAACATTTCATATTGCGACGTGACTAACACTTGATATTGCGACGTGACCAACATTTCATATTGCGACGTGACCAATATTTTATATCGATGGGCGGCATGTCAACGGTTGTCATTGGCGATTGCGTCTGTTATTCACGCTCAGACTGCACACTCTGCGTGTAACTGTAATTTTTGCATCAATTTTACGCTGCACTGTTCTGTTGGAAGATAACAACATACAAGTGTAGTTTATTGGATGCTGAAAGCACACATCCCTCAGAAAGCAACCTGATATTGTGTGCATGCACGTTACTTAGAATGATGCCTATGAAATAAAAGGCTGTGATGTTACGTCATGCCAGCCACTGGGTCCACGGATATGCTTGGGTTCACCTACTGTCCTTACCGTTGTGCTATACCCAGTTTGCTACGTACTGCAACGTACCGCATTATGTATGGTGTGTAATTTGATGATGGCTCGCCTTTGTGGTGAATTCGCCGAAGACAACTGTCCCGTCTTTCTGCAAGCGCCGCGATCCGCGAAGTCCCAATCTCACACGTTGTCTGCCCTTTTTCAGGGGCGGTTTGTGTTGACCTGACCGGCTGCGGCGCCGACGTCGTGACGTCAGCCGAGCCCCAACTCCGCGGCCACCATGGACGTCGACATGTGCTTCAACCGCACCGGCACCGACATGTTCAGCGACTTCGACTTCGCCAGTCACGAGTACCCGCTGGAGTACAAGCCGCTGGAGTTCAGTCCGGAGAGCATTGTGAAGGTAAGCGCCGGCGTGTCGCGACGACACGTGAGTTGAACTGGGATGCCCATGTGGCGCGGAACGCGCATCACCCGGCTGCGGGCGTCCGCCGGTCCGTCTGTCTGCGGGGCGGCGGCTGTGCCACTGCTGCTCGGCCGACGGCACGTGCTGGGCCCCTGTTGGACTGTCTCTGTATGGTTGTATAGCCCGGTATCGAAACCTCTCACTAACGCCTCGAGCGTCGCACGGGATGGCGGGTGCTGGGCGCGAGGAAGAGAGTGGTGATGGAGTGCGTGCTTTCCTTAGATTTCCGAAATTTTAGTCTGGATAATGGCCAGTGCTTTATTTTTTAAACCTCAAAAGGCACGAGGATCACCTATCTAGAGGGTAGATGAGATTGAAGGATCTGGAGGATCTGATGGGTTGGATTGGAGAATCTGGAGGATCTGATCTGTCGGATTGAAGGATCTGGAGGATCTGCTAGGTTGGATTGGAGGATCTGGAGAATGTGATAGGAGGATCCCGAATGTCTGGGGTCACGGCTGGGGGATCCTATCTGTTGTAATCCTGGGGTACTCCAAGCCCTGGTTTCCTGGAGGACCCCAGCGCCTGCTTGGGAGCGATCATCAGCAATGGCGGTGGCGATATTCATCACGTTGCACCTCGCCTTTTTCAGCAAACACGCCGCTTGGCTGCTATGTTTTCGTGCATGTATGCCATTGCATTTGCAAACATGAGCAGTGTTTGCCCTTTTAGTGAGGAATTGCTCATTTCACAAATCAACAGACACATCGCATGATAACTGTTGTATGGTTGAAATCGGTTGGACTTTGCGCTTACGCTGCTGGTCGGTTGTATGCGGATTAAGGCCATTATTACCAGGCGAAATGCCGTCGTTGCCGAAATCCGGTCTTCGTCGCATTTCCCCCTTATGTTTAGAATTACTAGCAATCACAAGCAGGAAGTAAAAAAGATTTACGACAAGAAGTCATATTTAATCGCTGTTTATGTTTTTTATAGTTAATGCATAACCGTACATATGGTGCACACACTGGATGGTCAGCGACATCATTTTATGTTGTTATGTTATGAATGGCATATGGTTGATTAGACAACTTTGAATCATTAAAAAACATGTACTTTATGCACAACCGTACGTATGGTGCGGACACAGGATGGTCGGCGACATTATTTTATGTTGTAACGTTATTTATGGCATATGGGCAATTGGAGAAATTTGGATTGTTCAGAAAAAGATGCATTCTATCTACCGCTGCCCTGGTCTGAACCGCCCCGATGCGCTCCGGCTCTTTTGGTTACATTACACACGTACAATAAGATATTTCTTCCCCTATGGAAGCGATTCCGTGACTGCGTAAGTTCCTGTAAAGCTACAAACGCTGATAAGACCCCAGCCAGGAAGGCATCCTCATCAGCTGCGCTGCCGGGAAAACATCTAGAGAACAATGGGGAGGCGCCGTTTTCGTGGCCCAATTCATAACCAAATCATCACAGCAAACTTGGCTTAGTTTCAAAACTCCCTACGCCGGGGCGGAATAGGCTATTGAAAGGTTGGTTCAAGATTGAGCCAACGCGAGAACTTTCCTTCATTGATCCTCATTATGAACACCTGGAGAGTGATGACGCCAGAAGTTTGGGCCATTCTCAAAGCCAAAGCAGCGACAAATGACAGCTGAAGAGGTCTCTTACCGATATGGCTTCCCTACGCCCCATCCGATCATAATAATTCAACTTAACTATCGGCATACATCACCCAGAAATTATAATGAGGGCTGCAGCCTTCGAAACGGCTTGCTTCCTGATGAAATTATATCCACCTTTCGACGAGCCGCTATCCGCGTGGCCACGATCCATTAAACCACGAGCCGTCATCTACGGGAGAATATTAACTCGTCCACTTGGCGCTTTACGTAACATGGTGCATTTGTGCCAATCATCATTTGCTATGCACTTTGCAGCCTTGCAGCGTATGTTTACTTTTCTGCTTGTGCAAACCCGGATTGCAGAGCCGGCCCTACATGCTGTATCGTACGTTGCTTTGAAGCTGTATTAGTACCCTAGATGAAATGAAGCGCATTAGATTGATGCGCACAATAATCAAGCATTCCATGAGCTCTTGAAAGATCGCTTTAGCCGTTTTGACCGTTGATCAATGCATTTTATCACCAACTATAGATTTAAAATACGTTTAAATTCTCTATCAAGTGTAAGTAGGTGCTCAACACTTTGACAAGGAAATGACTGTCTTCACAAAATTTCATTGACAATCAATAACATACCTACATTTATCCATCTAAAAGTAAGTGCAGTATATATGAACGGGCTGCCGAAAAAAATTGCTTCTTCTGTCCATGCCTTCGCCAACTTTTTACAGGTGAGCATGCATAATTCACCAAATCCAAGGAGAACATCAGGCCTGACTACCAGCCGTGTGAGTCGGCCGAGCGCCATGGATGCCGGCCTGACCGTTGATGTTTGCATCGGTGCTGTGTGGAGCAAGGCGGGCTTTGGGGACCATTTAACTCAAGGATCAGTTACCGTGGATCATGCTCAGATGCCAAGGTCTCGAAGTGCTGCACACCCATGAACGGCGACGCGGGCAGGATAGTAGAGTCTGTTTTGTCGATTCTGCGGCAGAAATGTCACCTAATGTTTTTTTTTAATATTTCGCATTATTTCGATAGGAAGAGATATGAGTCAAGCATGCCCACAAGAGCACGATCTCCAATTGCAATCTTATAAAAAAAGACGTGTTTAATTTTTTTCTTCAAATGTCGCCAAGCATGTCTAGCCCAAATCGTTGATAAAGCGATGTCCTTAGAAAATAGATGCTGAAAACTTCTTTTTAAACTCTGTTAATAGTTTTGCGCGTAATCCTTCGTGAAGACAGGTATCTGTCTTGATATCTGTCTTGATAGTCCTATGATATCAGGCAAAATACCCGAGCTCCTATTTGTCACCGGCGATCATGACCATATAACCAGAGGTGTACGTGTTGCTCTTGGCATTTTCATGGTTTCCAAAACTGATCACTAGCAATGGGAGACGCATCGTCATGTTATGCTCGCACTATTAGTTTGAGAGACTGGAATGAGCAGCCCATACTTGCAATTCTACCAGCAAATAAACTGGCTGCATTTATAGCTATCGTCAAAATCGCATTTGATAGCATTTCATACAGATGGTGCTGCATTTAGGGTAAACATGCAGTAAACTTGGGGTAGATTGCATTATGGGTTTTGGTGACGCCAACTCCAAGGCAGCCAGACCGTTCCGATTGTGCAGTAATACGCTGTTGGCTTCCATGGATTTCTAGCGTATTTTGTTGGGCGACTTGGCCACTATTTGGGGTAAACCCGACAATTAGGACGCGAGGGCTTCAGTCGTCTTATGGATCGTTCTTTTGCTTCTGGGGATAAAGACGTACGTAAGATGGGTACCTTCTGATTTGAATCCAAGTTAATGGATCGCTTTTACCGTCGCGTGTTTTGCTTATTTTTAACGCATAAAGCAGGAATTCGGGGGGCGGAAACCCAGTGGTTAGGCTCCGCGCCTGAGGAACCGGAGGTATGGGGCTCAACTCCCGCGGAAGCCGCCGTCCCTGTCAGGCCACGTCACGGGTGAGACGTCACGCCACGACGCCACGCGGTGAGACGTCACGCCACGACGCTACCGGTGAGACGTCACGCCATGAGTCACGGATGAGACGTCACGCGACGACACCACGCGGTGAGACGTCACGCCACGACGCTACCGGTGAGACGTCACGCCATGAGTCACGGATGAGACGTCACGCGACGACACCATACGGTGAGACGTCACGCCATGACGCCACGCCAAGTGCCCAGGCCGCGTTCTCCTTTTTTATACCGACCTAACACAAGGCGGTGGAGCCACACTCGAGAAAGACGGAGCTGCCATCACCGTACAGGTATTTGACGCAAGTGATTGTTATCAACGTGCACCCAAGATAGGTCGTTTTTTGCAAGTTTTCGGCTTGATGTATTACACCGAAGAATAATGCAAACATTTTCGACTTCGTTGGCTTTAACAGCGATCACTTCGCCATATATTGTTTGAAATTGCGCTCAGATGCTGGGCAGAAGACGTCTTTGCCTGCCTGTCGTGTTTTCAGACCCTTTGACCCTCCTCACATGAAAAACCGACGTGGCCAAGAATGGCTTAAGGTTTCTCAGGGCTCCAAAGCCGCCCGTTGGGAACAGCGCAGGGCTTGAAATTATACATTCTACATACAACAATAATTTGTTATGGATTGTCACGTCGCCCGTGTCTCACCAAGTAAGGCCTCTTGCTGGTTTACGGGTTTAATTAAAACTTTCGCTGACGCCGTTAATTTGTCTGAGTAGCAGCGATTAACTACGATATCTTCCGAAGAGACAGAGCAAGGAAATGTATTGGAGCAGCGGTGTTGTTTCATATTCAGGCGGGGAAGACTTCAGCTCCTTCATTTTGAGAAGAAAGTAGGTCAGATCCTGGGAGAAGCCTGCTTTTTGTGTATTTTAGAGACAGGTTTAGCCGCTTCCACTGCTCAGTACCCTAGACCTGTTTTCCAAAACCGGACCTCTGTGGTAGAGGCTTCATGACCGTTACACGCGACCGATTCACCACCGCAGCACCTCAACGTCCAGCCCCAACACAGCTCCAAGGAGGAAAGCGTCGAAGTCAAGATGCCGGTGGATCAATGTCGCTCAATATCGCAATGAAGGTGATCGGCAGCTTACGCCAGCCACGTAGCGGCAGCAACGTTCAAGGAGTTTGACTGCATTGAAGAAAAATTGAAAACTTGATCGGGTTCTCACACTGCACATCGGCCAAGAACAAGATCCCGAATGAAAAAATTGACATCCAAAGAGCTGCAACTTCGGTTTAAGAAATGTTATGTTTCTAGCTTATAAATCTGAAAACGGCATTTTTGGAGAAAAAATCATGACATATGGATATAAACTACAAAACGCCAAAATATTACAAACTATAGCATC